CGGACCCTCATTAACATTCATCGCAAATTAAACTATTTTCAACCTCAACATTACATTCGCATACACTAGAACCGCTTAATATTACAGATTACTAATCGCCAACAGCTTAACGTGATTTCATTGTAATCAGCTAATCATTAGTTTGTATTCAAAACCGCATCACTCTTTAAGTAATAACTTCTGCAAATAATTTATAACTACAATCATTATAAATAGATAACATTGAAGATTCTACAGATTTTTGTGTAATCAATGAGCATACAATACACAAATCACTGACTATCATAACGTCAGCATTGACACATAAAAAGAAGAAACCAATAACAGAGCAAAATAAAATTAATATGTATAATATTCAATATCTAAAGAACATTTCCATTCTCTGGAACGAAACTTCATCTACATATGAAGGATTTGTCATTGGTCGAGAACATTAAAAAATAGATATACAATTTCATGATTGAAGTAACAATAAAAAAAGCGCAATTCTACAAATAACTGAGTTACGGCTGTAATTTTCTTCGTCAAATTTTATATTAAGGAAATTTGGAATAATAAAAAAATATCAAAAAAAGATAAAATTAAAAACTTTTTGAATTAAAATTATGTTTAAAACATAAATAATATCTTTGAAATTAATTTTAGATACAATTTACATGTGCATAGCAAATAATGGAGCCATTATAAAAGTGACTTCATCGGCGCACTTTAATCTTGCGCACTATTGTCGGGTTACCACCAAATATATATACAAATTTAATAGTGAACCATTTAATTGGACAACCTCACATTTTAATTCTAAAGTTGGTATTAGGATTAAACTTAATATTTCTAGATTAGCTTTCTGCAGTGATGCATTACTAAGTATTTTACAAATTATCTGATAAGTATAGTTTTGTTTCGAGTCTTTTCGATATTCTTATGTAATACGATTTTTTGTACATTCGCGTATAGCGAATATTGCATTTTTTTAATATTATAAGGTTTGGTTATATTTATTTCATCTAGATTCTAGACGACCAACGATATGGTTGAAATGATTTTAATAACTAGCAATGAATTGCACAACTATAGTGGATTTTGCTACATCCAGTAATTATTAGTTCAAAACGAGATTACACCAACAATATATTAATTACGGTGCGCGGGTTGGAAATTAATAAATGGACATAGGACGTATGAAAAATGAAATTCCACCGGTGTTTGACATAATTGCCCATTACTTTAATTAAAGTATTAATTTTAGTTTGTCTGCGAAACCGAACGATGAGAAAATTAGGAAAATTAATGTCCCACTCACCGAAAACACTGGTTTTATATAATGGAAATGATTATTAATCTAATGTAAGCACACTCATATATTTAAAAATGTAACAATATACGTATAGTGATGTGTAGATATATTTGATTTTCTACTATTGGTTAATAATAATTATATACAAATGTTTTATCCTTTATTAATAACAATAATTGTATTTTGTTTCTTTTCCTGCCATTTATCTTAAATAAGATAAAGAACTGGACTAAAAAAATCAAGGGATTGGTTCAGTGACCAACCTTAACGTGAACACACGGAAGTCATATTTAAATTGCTAATTTAAGATTCAAATATTAAACTTTAGTTTAGAAAATCAACAAGAAATAAAAATAAGGATGGTAGTTAATGCAAAGACAATTTATTATATGTTTAAGTCAGTAATCACATAAACCTCCGTTTTACGAAATTTAATGTGAATGACAGAATTTTAATGTACTGAAGTGCTACGATATGACATGTTTATTTATAATCTATTTAGTATGAACAATAAGTAAATCTGATCGCAGATTAAGAAGTTGAGTTGCATGAAAAATATTATTTATTAATGTTATTGAGTTTATGATCTATATTACGGTTTAGATGATGTTGACGGTCTCTTTCGTGGATCGTCATTAATTTCGTTTTGCGCTTTACGTTTCCTGTCAAATTTTCCTTCACGATTTAAAATTTCCAATTCTTCGTCGATCAATGAACCATCAAAATTATATTTTGATGTATTGTAGAGTTTAGTCAGTTCATCCAAACTCGTTGCAGTTTTCCAATTTTTGTCGGTTCTTACTTTCTTTACTCTTGGGAATCTTATGGATATACCATTCGCCGTGTGAACACGGTGAGTTTGAATAAATTCAGCGCCGATTACTTCCCAGACTGGTTGCTGTTTCGGATCTTTAGCAATAAATTCGGGCAACATAGTTTTAGAACAATTTAACCACTTCGGAGTAATTTGCTTATTATTCTTGACTAAATTTCCATTATTTTTCAAATTTGATCGTACCTTGGTTACAGTGTAATATTTCTCAGTATTTGCATCATAAACGCCCATCAAAAAAACTGATTTACCCCAAGACCCGAGAACTACCAAATCCGAAGTATCTGCCATTTTTCCATCATATAAATGGTCTTTTTTCACTTTCAACCAGTGCCTTTCCCCAGGCTCATATTTACCTAAGATGTCCTTCAATACCAAACCTTCTAATCCTAATTTAATAACTTCTTTCATGTGCTGAGCCAAATCGTTAGCATTATAAATCTCTTTCATTTCCGAAAGCATCATCACGTTAGGAATCTCTGTCATATTCCTCGACAATAAGTCTCTTCGTTCCTTCAAAGGTCTCTCAGTCAAATCCTCACCATTTAAATACATGCAATCAAATATAAATAAACAGAGAGAAGCATTTTTTTGTTCTTTCTGCTTATTTTTTCCTAAAGTTCCAAACGGTAGCGGCTTTCCATTGTTCTTATCTACCATCACTACCTCGCAATCTAATATAACATCTTTGGCATTAGGCATAGCTTTGGAAATATGTTTATCAAAACCTACAATTTTATGTTTCTGAACTGGTAGCAGACTCCTTGAGAAAAATTTTAATTCTTTGTTCTTTTTGTGCACCTGCACACGCTCTCCATCATATTTGACTTCCGAAAAAATGCCGTTCGGGAATTTCTTCAAAGCTTGCCTCATGTTTTTACATGCTTCAGCTAACATAGGTTGGATTGGTTTCATAACAATAATTTGGCTGGTAGTTGTATTTCTAAATTCATTAATTCCTTCATCTTCAAATTCAATTGATTCAAATTCCTTTCCTTGTCTTCTCGCATACTCTCTCTCACATTGTTCGACCTTCTCGATTATAAGTTCTTTATCTGCTGTACTCAAATTGTTCCATCCGTCCAAATCATTTGCAGATACCAATCTTCTGGTATTAGGTCTTTGATTTAAGAATACCTCAAATAAACAGTCTATATGATACCAATACTTCAATGGTCCACGTGGGCCTTGGACGTATTTTGCTAAGCGCAATTCACCTTTTAAACACTTTTGATCACATCTTCTGCAAGTAGCACGACCCTGTGTTGGTCTATCTACGCAGAATGGCTTTTGCGATGAATCTATATCACCCATCGATTACAATTACAAACTAGCACTTAATTAAATATTTCTAATTTACTCTGAGTATTTATACATGTAAAAATATACTGATTAAATAATCTTATAATTGAAATATTTTATCTATATTGTATTATAAATATTTGTAAATCAATGATGAAATTCTATTATTTTTTTATTATTTCTAAAATAAAATAATATATATCGCAGTAGATTAACATTCTTTACAAACGATAATAAGATTGAGACTATTTTTAATTCTATTTTGAACGGATATAGGTACTTATCCATTTAAAAATAATTGTTTGTTAGTATTGTTATATATTTTTCCACTATTTATTTCGATTGCTTAGAAATTTAATTTATAATTGAAAATGTACCGTCTTATCACCAATAATTCATAAATTCAATAAGGATATTGTTATATTTTATCTATAATTTGTCGTATATAATTCAGAATATTTTTAATCTGTGCTTATTGAATAACTGTAAAATTATAATTCAATAAAATTTTAATGTAAACATTGTTACATTTCAATAAATAAGTAGACAAACCAATTAGTCATTATAATTTAGAATATGTTTTAACATTCAATATCTAATATTAATTATTATTAGTGTACAAATATTTTAAATAATTAAAACTATAGAATAATTTAATGGTGCGACTTAAGAATTCATGTTTTTTAAGTATATTATTATAAGGTTTTTTATAGTTTCGGCTATTTAGGATGAATTTTTATAGAATGATTTTAATTCTTCATCTATCAATAAAAATTAATATTATTTTTGGATGTATTGTAAAGTTCAGTCAATTCATCTAGACTCGTTGTAGTTTCCCAATTTGTATCGGTTTTAGTATTTATCATATATTTACCATATATTAAAATTTGACGTGTGCATATTAGTTTTAATAAATTTAGAACCACCGATTTTCCAGACCGGTTGTAATTTTGGATCTTTGGCGACAAACTCAGGTACCATAGTACAACTTAACCAATTTGGTTTTTTAAATACATCTTGTTTGATATTGATATAATTTGACATTTCGATATCTGAAATATGTTGGTGCACTATTATAACTGTATAAAATGTTTTAGTTTTTGCATCATAAACGCCCATCAGAAACGAAGACATATAACGCCATTTTTTAGAATTACTCCAACACCCAAGGACTTTCAAATTTGCATTATCGACCATACGTCCACCATACAAATCAGTATTTGTCATTTTGAGCCACTGGGAACGAACCCCTGGTTCATATTTACCATTAATATCCTTTAATACTAAACCTCCCAATCCCATCCTTATAACATCCTTAAAATGTTGAGCCAAATCGATAGCACTATTTATTCTTTCATCTCAGAAAACATAATCTTATTTGAAATCTCGGTCATATTCTTCAATAATATATTTCTTCGTTCTTTTAATGGTCTATCAGTCAAATCTTCACCATTTAAATATAAACAATCAGATACAAATAAACAAATTGAATAATCTTCTGCATCACATTTGTATCCACAAATTAATATGATAACTTCACCTCGCGGAAACGCTTTAGGAATGATTTCCTGAAACAAATCAATTTTGTATTGAACCATTGCTTTTTTTCCAAAATATTTAAATGTAGAGTTCATCTTGTGCAGTTGCACTACTGGACCATATATGGTTTCTGAATAAAAGCCATTCGGAAATTTACTGATAGCTTGATAAATGGTTTGACATGATTCATCTGGCATTTGTTTAATGTTCTTTATTACAACAATAGATTTAGAAAAACAATGTTTTATAGCCAAGGGTATACAGCCCAATGATACAAAAGATGAGTATGCTTCAGGATGAATAGCTTCTAGGATATGTTCAGGTGTTAAATCAATGTTTAAATCATGTATCATCAATTTTACTATATAGTTTAAATCTCCACTTGTACAATATGGTAAGAATTTTTTAATATGGTTTACTTGTTCGTCTAATTTGGTGACTTGTTTTAAGAGAGAGAAGAATTCATTAACTTGTTCAATCTTCAAAGTTGTTGAATTTGGAGGGTCCATTTTCATATTATAGAAATGCTCAATACTTTTATCGATGCTTTTGGATTCGTCATAATGATAATATATTTCTGATGCATCCACGACAAAAATTGTGCTAAATAATCGTATCAATTGATCAATATCCATACACTCAATCATGGGATTCTGTTTCGGCAGCAATAACTTGCACCAAGTTATCACGTTTTCTTCACTATTACTTGCAACTCTGAACGTCTCCTTTAATAAAGCACACCTATAGACAAAATATTTTGTTCTTCGAATGTTACCAATTAATTCTCTGAATTCTTCAAATGTATTATCATTACTTAATATAATTTTTGTTTTATCTATTTTTTCAGTTTGAATTGGTTTACTGTCTTGTCCAAGTTTATTCATAAGTGGATTATCATTATTTTTGACATTAATAAAATTCTCAGATATATCCAATTTATTGGGTATATTAGATTTAACACATATAGGTTTTATGGACTTATTAGCATCCTCAGGAATTATCTTTGGAAAACACTTGTTTATGGATAAGGCGATATCTTTGCAAAACAAAAAAGTAGAGTAGGCAGTATGGACGGCTTCTAAGATGTGCTTGTGTGTTACAATACACTTTAAATCTCCAACCGTGCACGAATGTAAAATTAACTTGAAAAGCTTTACTCGTTCATTCTCTTCGGTTAGATTTGATAAAACTGTGAAAAAATTGTTAACCTGCTTAATCGTCAAAGTTGTTGTCATCGGAGGATTCATTTTCTTAATATAGAAATAGGCAATACTTTCATCGACGCTACTGGATTGTTCAAGGTGATTAAATATTGCTGATGCAACCTCGACAAATATACTGGTGAAGAGTATATTTGTCGAGGTTAATAATATTCATGTATATTATCGTGGAATTCTGTTCCGGTAATAATAACCTACACCACAATACAATGTTTTCTACTTTATCACTTGCAAATTTGAACAAATCCGTTAGTAAAGCACTTTTTTGTAACCATTTTCTTACTATAGAAATGCACGATAGTGTCATTAATCCTGCTGGTTTTATCAAGGTGTGCAAATAATGTTGATGCATCTTGGTCTAATATACTGCTAAATAAGATTACCAATTCCTCAATCTTCATTTTACAAATCATGGGATTTTTATCTGGCAATAATAGTTTGCACCATGTTATAACATTTCCTTGGAATTTTATACCATAAAAGTACACAATAGTGTCATCAATTCATTAGTTTTCTCATAATGAATAGACATTTTTGTAATATTTACTTCAAATATTTTGCTAAATAACGTTACCAATTTCTCAATTTTCATATTATAAATCATAGCATTTAAGTCTGGTAAAAATAATCTGCACCAAATAATAATATTTCCTTGGAATTTTATACCATCGCTTCCAAATGTGAACATGTCTGTCAGTAAAGCACATTTTTTAACATAATTTTGTTCTTTTCTAATATTTTCAAGTAATCTCCTAAACTCTTTAAATCTATGATCTTTACTTGAGTCAAATTCCAAATTAATTGTACTAAATTCATCACCATTTCTAGTCATATTCACAGTCTCACTTTTTTCCACTTTTTCAATTATTCGTAATTGATCTATTTTTCTACGTAATCGTAATGCACTCATGGTGAGTGAAATACTAAACATAATATTAATTTCCAGCTATCTATCAAAATCTATTTATGCTGATTAAGTAAACTAATGATTGTTATTTCTTATCTATATTGTTTCAAATATTTTTTATGCAAGATACAATAAAACGATCCTGATATGATATATTAAGATTTTTATGATCTAATGTTAATGAAACAAAACTGATGTAAGCAGTTTTAATACGTAGAATTAGATTTAGATTAACAAAACTAATATAATATTGATATTTTCTTGATCGATAAACACAATAATTACTATAATATAATATTTTGATAAAAAAATCATGTATATTGTAGATTGCAGCAGTGCAAATTGAAAATATTACTATAAATAATATCTGAAATAAACTAGGATTTAAGAATTATTGAGCATATAACTTTCGTTTAAATTTTATTTTATACTGAAAAATCGGTTCTTTAGTATTCATATTTCTCAGAATACTTATAAATTTTATTATTGTACATTGTATTTTATTAGTTATTACATTTCAACAATTGTCTGGAAGGATCTGGAAGAGAATAGATACTGCTCAGCTATACAGCTTTGATGTGTCACAGGATTTCAAGAAAATTGTATGTCAACCCCACTACACGTAAAAAGTTTGGAAGTCTCGCCCAAACAGTAACTCTCCTTATCCCATAGTGCCCACCAAACTCCCGTATTTTTGAAATATGCCCTCCTAGTACTAAAGGTTGCGGACTACCATAGAAGAATCGCAGATACTAAATGGTACATCGTCAATATCGATAATAAGATTGAGACTTTTTTTAATTCCATTTTGAATTTATTTATTTAAAAATAATTGTTTATCAGTATTTTCATTGTTATATATTTTTTCAATATTAATTTCAATTGTTTAGAAATTTAATTTATAATTGAAAATTTATCGCTTATCAATTGCTTATCACTAATAATTCATAAGTTCAATAAGGATAATGTTATATTTTATCAATAATTTATTATGTCGTATATAATACAGAATATTTTTTAGTAAAAGTATAATGCAATGAATTCAATATAATTTTAATAAAAATTTGAATCCATTGTCTGCACTCCTTGAAGTTGGTATATCATTTTATATTAAGTCAAATCTAAATGATAGATCCAAGGCCTTGAAATGCTTCAATATTTATGTTATCTAGAAGATTGACCTTTGGCTCTATAACCTTGATTTATTTAAAAGCAAACCCCAAATATAGATGAAGAGATTTAAATCGCGGGAATAAAAGAACATTTTATAAATAAAAAAGATAATTTTATTTAACTATTTTATATAACAAAAATACATAAGTAGATGTAGATGATGGTTAATGTTGAAAATAAAGAA